ATTGTCAACGCTAATCGGCGTACATTAAAATGAAAGTTCGTTGCATTTCAGCTCTCCAAGGGTTACACTAAGATACACTACATGAACATGTCAATCAATCAATCAATCAATCAACCCATAAATAAATAAATAAATATGTACACTAATGGGCATCCATTAAAATGAAATTTCGTTGCATTTCAGCTCTCCAAGGGTTACACTAAGATACACTACATGAACATGTCAATCAATCAATCAATCCATAAATATGTACACTAATGGGCATACATTAAAATGAAATTTTGTTGCATTCCAGTTCTCCAAAGGTTACACTAAGATACACTACATGAACATGTCAATCAATCAATCAATCAATCCATAAATATGTACACTAATGGGCATACATTAAAATGAAATTTCGTTGCATTTCAGCTCTCCAAAGGTTACACTAAGATACACTACATGAACATGTCAATCAATCCATAAATAAATAAATATGTACACTAATGGACATACATTAAAATGAATTTCGTTGCATTCCAGTTCTCCAAGGGTTAAAGATACACTACATGAACATGTCAATCAATCAATCCATAAATATGTACACCAATGGGCATACATTAAAATGAAATTTCGTTGCATTTCAGCTCTCCAAGGGTTACACTAAGATATACTACATGAACATGTCAATCAATCCATAAATAAATAAATATGTACACTAATGGACATACATTAAAATGAATTTCGTTGCATTCCAGTTCTCCAAGGGTTAAAGATACACTACATGAACATGTCAATCAATCAATCCATAAATATGTACACCAATGGGCATACATTAAAATGAAATTTCGTTGCATTTCAGCTCTCCAAGGGTTACACTAAGATACATTACATGAACATGTCAATCAATCAATCCATAAATAAATAAATATGTACACCAATGGGCATACATTAAAATGAAATTTCGTTGCATTTCAGCTCTCCAAGGGTTACACTAAGATACACTACATGAACATGTCAATCAATCCATAAATAAATAAATATGTACACTAATGGGCATACATTAAAATGAAATTTCGTTGCATTTCAGCTCTCCAAAGGTTACACTAAGATACATTACATGAACATGTCAATCAATCAATCAATCCATAAATAAATAAATATGTACACTAATGGGCATACATTAAAATGAAATTTGGTTGCATTTCAGCTCTCCAAAGGCTACACTAAGATACACTACATGAACATGTCAATCAATCAATCAATCCATAAATAAATAAATATGTACACTAATGGGCATACATTAAAATGAAATTTCGTTGCATTTCAGCTCTCCAAAGGTTACACTAAGATACACTACATGAACATGTCAATCAATCAATCAATCCATAAATAAATAAATATGTACACTAATGGGCATACATTAAAATGAAATTTGGTTGCATTTCAGCTCTCCAAAGGTTACACTAAGATACACTACATGAACATGTCAATCAATCAATCAATCCATAAATAAATAAATATGTACACTAATGGGCATACATTAAAATGAAATTTGGTTGCATTTCAGCTCTCCAAAGGTTACACTAAGATACACTACATGAACATGTCAATCAATCAATCAATCAGTGCATCCATAAATAAATAAATATGTACACTAATGGGCATACATTAAAATGAAATTTCGTTGCATTTCAGCTCTCCAAGGGTTACACTAATACACTACATGAACATGTCAATCAATCAATCCATAAATAAATCAATATGTACACTAATGGGCATACATTAAAATGAAATCTTGTTGCATTTCAGCTCTCCAAGGGTTGCAGTAAGATACACTACATGAACATATCAATCAATCAATCAGTGCATCCATAAATAAATAAACACATACATACATACATACATACATACCAGGGTGGATAAAAATAAAAAAAAAATGGATTTTTTTATTTAAATCGGAATTTTTTGATTTAAATCGGATTTTTTTGATTTAAATCGGATTTTTTTGATTTTTATCGAATTTATTTTAATAAAAAACTTTTGGGGTAAAAATCTATCTTAAGATAGTTTTCTATTTAAGATATATAAATAATTTAGTTTATTGAGCATGAAATGGAGCTTAGTTATGTAGCATGAGGCTGTATGTTCTGCAACACTGGGACTATCGGTGAGTCAACAGTGGGTCAAAGGAGTAGCAGAGATGACAGTTGCTCTTTAAAAATTATGATTTAAATCGAGTTGATTTAAATCAAGCCTTTTTACTAGTGATTTAAATCATGATTTAAATTGTGATTTAAATCAACTCGATTTAAATCAAATCCACCCACATACATACATACATACATACATATATACATACACTAATGGGCATACATTAAAATGAAATTTATATAACTGGTCTGGTTCTGCAACCCAACAAGACAGACACAGACTTCAGAGGATAATTAGAACTGCAGAAAAAACAATGGCTACCAACCTGCCTTCCATTGAGGACCTGTACACCGCGCCAGTCAAAAAGAGGGCTGGGAAAATATTTACAGACCCCTCGCATCCTGGACATAAACTGTTTCAACTCCTACCCTGAAAACGACGCTATAGGGCACTGCACACCAGAAAAAATAGACACAAGAACAGTTTTTTCCCGAACGCCATCACTCTGCTACTTAAGTAATTCCCTCAACACTGTCAAACTATTTACTAAATCTGCACTACTATTAATCTTCTCATCGTTCCCATCACCCATCTCCTTCCACTTATAACTGTATGAGTGTGATTTTGTTGCTTGTATCCTTATGATTTATATTGATATTGTTTCCTGATTGCTTATTTGTACCCTATGACTAGCATTAAGTATTGTACCTTATGATTCTTGATGAATGTATCTTTTCTTTTATGTACACTGAGAGCATATGCACCAAGACAAATTCCTTGTGTGTCCAATCACACTTGGCCAATAAAAAATTCTGTTCTGTTCTGTTCTGTTCTGTTCTGTTCTGTTCTATTCTATTCTATTCTATTCTATTCTATTCTATTCTATTCTATTCTATTCTATTCTATTCTATTCTATTCTATTCTATTCTGTCGCATACAGCTTTCAAAGGGTCACCACCTCCAAGATATACTACATGAACATGACGAATGAATGAATGAATGTATATGCATATACCCACATATATTATATGACCCAGAGAAACAACACAGTCTAGTTCGGATGTATACATGTACATAGCAAGAAAAATGAATCTTGCGAGTTTACCAGAAGGATGGCCTAGGCTTAGGGGACAAAGCTGTTAACAGAATTCAATAGTCCTGCTAGAATCTGGTAGTTCTGCCTTCGGTAGATCTCTCCAAGGATTCTCCTCCTTGAGCAGGGTCTGGACCTCCAAGGTCCCTTCCAGATCTATTCTATTCCAAAATACATTCTGATTGATTGAAGATCCTGAGCAGCCTAGGGAGCAGTTGTAGATCTCAAATGATTTTGAAGAGGATTCCAATCAGGGTAGGGAGCAATTCTCTCCACCACCCCCGCTTGGTACAGGTAATCCTCGACTTACAACAGTTCATTTCGTGACCATTCAAAGATACAATGGCACGGAAAAAAAGTGACATGCCTGTTTTTCACAGTTACGACCTTTACAGCACCCCCCCCCCATGGTGACATAATCAAAATTCAAATGCTTGGTAACGGGTTTGTATTTATGACGGTTGCCATATCCCAGGGTCATATGATCCCCTTTTGCGACCTTCTGACAAGGTCAGAAGGTCGCAAAATCACTGGGGAATGTGATTTTGCGACCTTCACTGGGGAATCACTGGGGAAGGTCAAAATCAATGGGGAAGCCAGATTCACTTAACAACCGTCTTAATAACTTAACAAATGCAGCAATTCACTTAACAACTGTTGCAAGAAAAGTTGTAAAACAGGGCAAATTTACTTAACAAATGTTTCACTTAGCAACATAAATTTTGGGCTCAATTGTGGTGGTAACTTGAGGACTACCAGTATTCTTAAGCCATGGAAGGGCTCCCTTCCTGGAGGGTCTGAATCCAAAGTTGGTCGGGAATTCATCTGGGCTGAGAATTCTTGTCCTGCACAGGGATCAGACTAGACATCCATAATGGACAGTTCCCTGTTCCACGTGAATACAGCTAGTCCTTGACTTACCACTGTTCATTCATGACCATTTCAAAGTCACAACAGCACAGAATATAGTGACTTACGTCTTTTACACCTACGACCGTTGCAGCATGCCAATGTCGTGTGATTTACCTTCAGATGCTTGGCAACCGACTCACATCTATGACGGTTGCAGTGTTCAGGAGTCGTTTTGCGACCTTCTGACCAGCAAAGTCGACGGGAACCCTGGATTCATTTAACAACTGTGCTACTGGTGGAACAACTGCAGCGATTCACTTAACAAATGTGGCAAGAAAAGTCGTAAAATGGGACAAGTTCACTTAGCAAAATTTTTCCCTTCACATCATCAATGTTGGGCTCAATTGTGGTCGTACATTGAGGACTCCCCGTATGTTGCTCTGCCCCCTTCAAGGACACGCTCCAAATTGAGTAGCACCCAGTGAGAAAAGGGGTTAGCAGCACATGAAAAGGTTCTTCTCTTGCACTCAGCTCCAAAGCGTTCCCATAAACAACCAATTACATTTGATGAGTAACAGATAATCGTCAAATGATGCTTTCTGGCTAACACAGCCACGGTGTTAATTTGGATGGTCTCATTCTATGAACGGCACTTCACATAAGCCAGAATTTGAATTTGCCTTTTCTGATCCAATTCAGTTTCTCAACTTCAGCAAGTATTCCCTTGTCACTTTGTGTGTGTGCGTGCAAGTTCCTAAGGTTCATTTTTTTCCACATTCCATTTCTGCCTTTAAATATCCTGAGAAGTAAACAACACTAATTTGAAGCCATTGACCTCTAAGTAGAAAAGTGAAATAAAAAGAGAGGGAAATTTATTTACAATTTTAGCGGCATGAAAAAGTATAGGTACTAAACGTAAGACTATAATGGAGGCTGGAATTTTCATCACAAGTATAAATTATAAATTGAAGTACATGTCAGCGTTTCGACGCTGGCATAGAGAGCAGAGAGAGAGAGAGAGAGATAAGCTCTGAACTTTTGCCAGCTAAATCCCTTTGATGTCGAGTTGTCGTGGAAATGAAGGGGGTGGGGACATTCCTGGGAAATGACGAGACAAGAAGTCTGAAGAATGACTTGGAAGATAGCCAATGAGAAGCAGAGATTTGGGGATCGGAAAGGGAGGGTTTGGGGGGCAAAAGGTCAGTCTTGTCCGCATCGAGTCATGATCCGGTGGCTGTGCTCAATTAAAGAAAAGATTTCCTTAAAGATTGGCAGTTTGGAAATTCATTTTATTTTGAGATAGCATCGAAGTCTGACAGTACACACACGAGCAACCGGATTTTATGACCTTTTATGCAGCACTTGTAAAGCCAATGCCACGGAAATTAAAATAAAGCCAATGTATTCCTATGGGTGATTTTTTTTTGCCAAAAACTTTAAAAAATCTGGATCCCAGCAAAAAAAGCCATAAATTATATATCATATGAACATAGAATGACATAACCACCTGTAAAGGTGAGGCAGTTGCCCAGGGCCTGAAATGCAGTCATGTGATATTTTCCAAAGCACCAAAAAGCAAGACAAGAAACAATGGATGGAAACTAATCAAGGAGAGAAGCAACTTCAAATTAAGGAGAAACTTCCTAACAGCGAGGACAATTAACGAGTGGAAGTGTTTGCCTTCAGAAATTGTGGGGGGGGGGGTTATAGGTTTTTTTTCCTGAGTGGAACTTTTATGGTATTTAAGATGACACGTCCTCTTAAAATAGTTGCTTTGCTCCTTTTCTTGATGTGTTATCAATCCTATATGGATCAGCACTTCAGTCCACGAGTTTAGCATCCATGAAGTTCATCCAAACTCACATATGCATTTTCTTGGGGGAGGGAGGGAATGACCAATATTAGCACCAAAGCTTTGTCCATATTTGTAGGCTCTCCTATGGGAAATAAGGACAGTGACATATTTTAACCAATTTCAGGCATTTTTATGGTTCTCCAATGTGGATTCATTTCGATCTGATGAAAAACCCTTTGGAACTGAATGTTACTGGAAAGTCAACATATTTCTGGAGTATTTAGAAGGCACTTGTGATGAAAGCTCCCAAGCTATGATTTCTCTCTTTTGTGGATTGTTTTATGTAGTGAAAGGTTCCGACTAAAGCTCTTTCCAGTCTGAGCATTTGAATGGTTTCTCCCCTGTGTGAATCCTTTTATGGTAAATAAAATGACTGCTGTTTTTGAAAGTCTTTCCACACTCCAAACACTGATACGGTCTCTCCCCAGTGTAAGTTCTTTTATGTAGCATAAAACTACTGTTCCATCCAAAGCTCTTCCTGCACTCCAGGCACTCGTATGGTTTTTCTCCCGTGTGGATCCTTTTATGATAATCAAAGGCAGTTTTCCGAATGAAGCTCTTATCACACTCTGTATATTTATATGGTCTCTCCCCTGTGTGGCTCCTTACATGTATGATAAGGTCTGAACTTTCATTGAACTTCCTTCCGCAGTGAAGACATGTATATGGTTTCTCCCCAGTGTGGATTCGTAGATGTCTTGTGAGATGATCCATCTGCCAGAAACTTTTTCCACATACTTGCCATATATATGGCTTCTCCCCTGAGTGCATCCGTTCATGGACAGTAAGTTTACATCTGTGAGGGAAGGTCTTCCCGCACTCCGGACATTTATATAGTTTTTCCATTGGGGGATTTTCTGGGGGTAAAATCTTGCTGAAACCCTTTCCACACTCATATGGGTTATCCTCTCCATCTGGCATAAGATGGTTGTTCAAAGCTAATTTTTCTACACAATTTATACTTGCATGTGGTGTCTCTGGGATGTATGATGGGTGATGTAAAACAAGAGAAGAGCTAAGACTGATACTTAGCACATTCTTGACGTTCATATTGTTCTTCTTCTGCCTGGTTTGTACAATATTTACTAAAAACAAATTTAGCTCTGCTTGTCTTGTCATCTCCAAAATATTTTTCTTCTCCCCTGTATGTGTCCGTTCATGGACAGTAAGTTTACATCTGTGAGGGAAGCTTTTTCCACACTCCGGACACTTATATCGTTTTTCCATTGGGGGATTTTCTGGGGGTAAAATAAGCAACTGTTTCTTGCTGAAACCCTTTCCACATTCATATGGGTTATCCTCTCCATCTGGCATAAGATGATTGTTCAAAGTGAATTTTTCTACACAATTTATAAGGGCAAAAGGTGTCTCTGGGATGTATGGTGGGTGATGTAAAACAAGAGAAGAGCTAAGACTGATACTTTGCACATACTCTTGATGTTCATATTGTTTTTCTTCTGCCTGGTTTGTACAATATTTACTAAAAACAAATTTAGCTCTGCTTGTCTTGTCATCTCCAAAATATTTTTCACTTCCTACTTGTGGCTGAAGTTGCTGAGTTGGGAGGACTTTATTGTGATCAGGAGAAGATTTCTTCCTTCCATTCTTTAGACAGCTTCTCCTAGTCTTTTGATGTACCCTCTGAATTCCAAGCATCCTTTCTTCAGACTGGAATAGCGCTAAGCTGGGCTCCTGGTAGTTCTTATGCTCCTGCCCGTAACCTGATTTGATGAAAAACAGGAAAAAAAATCATTACACTTATCACGTAAAAATGCCACAACGGTTATTTTTGCGTTTCCAAGATTTTCTGGGATCCTCTTTATATGCCTAAAACCTTCATTTCATTTCTGGTTCTCCTTCAGATATTATGTCCTTTTGTTTGGTTCCCCACTTATTTTTTTTTTAATTTATAATTTTATTAAAACATATATTTGACATTTACACAACATATAACATATAAATATCATTTTTAAGCATTGTTTCGTAGTGGTCTTCCATTTGTTACTTTGTCTTTCTTCCCCTATACCTTAGTCTAGTACTCCTTCTTCTTCCCCTCGTTTTCCTTTTCCCCCCCCTTCCCTTCCCCCTATGGAGATCTATACAATTGAATTATATCTTTAATACTATGCATTTCTACATTCCTGTTATATACATTTTTATTCTACTCCATACATTTGTTATGTATATATATTTTGTACTTCTAATCTCTCCTTATCATTATTGTTCTTTATTTCTAATCTCGAGCCATTTATACCATTTATTCCATATTCTGTAGTAATCTGTCTCTTCTTTTGCCTTTCTTTTGTTAATCTGTTCATCTCCGCACATTCTAAAATCTTATCTATCAGTTCTTCCTCGGTTGGGATTCTTTCCTGTTTCCAATTTTTTGTATATGTTATTTGTGCTGCTGTTAAGATGTGTAGCATCAAATATTTTATTTCTTTGGAGTATAGTTTTGTAAAAATTCCTAACAAGAATGTTTCTGGCTTCTTTTCTATTTGCTGTTCTGTTATTTGTTCTATCCATTTCTTAATATTTGACCAAAACTTTTTTGCTGCTGGACAGGTCCACCATAAATGATAATATGTTCCTTGGGATTTCTTACATTTCCAACATATTGCACTATTATTCGGGTGTATCTTTGCCAGTCTTGTCGGTGACAGATGCCATCTATAAAACATCAACGGATTTTCCTTGTATGCCGCTGATAGTGTTAATTTTGCATTCACTTGCCACATTGTTTCCCACTTCTCCAAATCTATTGTATAATTAAAATTTTGTGCCCATTTGATCATTGTATTCTTCAGTTTCCTCCTCCATTTTATATTGTAATAAAAATTTATAAATTTTGCTAATTAATTTTTCTTCTGATTCTAATAAGATTTTGTCTAATTCCTGTTTCTCCCTTTGAATTTCATGTTTTTGTATGTTCCCTTATATTTAGATTGGATTTGTGTGTAGACAAGATATGAATGACCCAATAACTATTTTTGAAATATCGGAATCGATAAGAAAAATGAAATCAGGTAAAGCTCCTAGTCCAGACTGTTTTACAAGTCAATATTATAAATGTTTTGAAGACAAACTTCTTCAGCCATTAAAGGATATAATGAATGATAATTTACAGGAGGGAAGGATACCCCCAAATTGGAAAGAAGCTAATATTGTGTTGTTCCCAAAGGAGTCAGGATATCACGACAATAAAGAATTATAGACCAATCTCACTATTCAATAAGGATTATAAATTATTTGCTGCAGTTTTGGCAGAAAGATTAAAGAAAGTTTTATAGGTATATATCTGGATTTCTGCCAAAGGGACACTTGATTAACCACATGAGAACTGTTTTGCACATTATTGAATACTTACAGTATCATAATAAACAACAGGCGGCTTTAATATTCTTAGATGCAGAGAAGGCCTTTGACAAGTTAAATTGGGCCTTTATGTTTAAAATCCTGGAAGAAATGGATTTTGGTGGGGATTTAATTCAAGGGATCAAAGCTGTCTATATATTACAGCATACAAACATTGTTACTAACGGTGACTTAACTAACTCATGCGAAACCGTAAAGGGTATAATGTCAGGGTTCCAAATTAGGCTCTCTTCCAGCGCTGACATAACAAGATGAACTTTTACCTAGTTTTGTATATACAGATAGTGTTTCCTGGGAGACGAGGGTGGGGGCTACATTCCTGTGAAAAGAACGTGCCGGGAGGTAGAGATGGATCTGCATGATGGCCAATGGGACATTGGGGTTGGAGAGCGGAAGAGGAGGGGGTTGGAAGGAGGGGCCAGTTTGGCTGCAATTAGAATCAGGAATGTCAGCTTTTTATGTTCTTAAATAAAAATGATTCATTAGAGACTCTGCGCTTGAAAATGAAACTTATTTAAGATAGCACCGAAACCTGACATATAAGACAAGGATGTCCTTTCTTTCCTTTGCTGTTTATCCTGGTGCTGGAAGCTTTGAATAAAATTATCATGCAAGATGAGAAAATAAGCGGTATAAATATTAAGAAGGAGGACTTTCACTGATGATTTGGTGATATTTCTGCATGACCCAAAACACAATATAGAATATTTGATGAGGAAATTAAATGAGTTTGGGTCTTTAGCAGGTTTCAAAATAAATAAGCAGAAAACGAAATAGACCAGAATTGTTGGTTAGTTAGTTAGTTGCTGCCTAATGTCACCTTCAAGGCTTTTTTTGCCTCCTCTAGGTGAACAGCCTGTATTCTTCCAATGTACATTCCCCATTGTGTGTCTGCTTGCTCTCTTCTAATCCCTCTGTCTCCAATGAATATGGAAACAAACAATTCTCTTGAGAATTATCCCAGCATCAGGGCGAGCGTTCCAAAGCACCAATGGTGAGATTTGCTCTGTTACTCAACTTCCTCATAAGTCAAACTTCCACAAAGCTTCCCCCCTTCGGGGCTACCCAGCTGTAAAGCAAAGAAAACTCTGAAAGTAAAATAAAGCAAAGAAAATGAAGTAAACTCATAAGCAAAGTCATGGTCACGTAATTTTTTACTTACTGATTGCTTTGATTAACAGAAGAATTGTTGGGCCTAAATGAAAGTCACTAAAAGAAAAGTACCGTAACCCCAGGTTACAGTATTTGTCTAACTTCTACAATCCAGTCAGCCAGTCAGATCTGTGGGATTTCCCGGCTTGTAATTTTTTCTTCTAGAAAATCTTTGCTTTACTATTATTATTCAGGGTCCCCCTTTCTTGTAAAGCAGGTACTCAACAATTCTTGCAAAAAATAAATAAATAAATCTTGGTTCTTTTCTTTGGTGTTGTGATCCTCCTTTAGACTGAATCCACAATAGTTTATAATATTACATTGGGTGGAAACACCCAGGAAAAAAATGTCACTTGTTCAGATTTCTATGGGGAACTTCCCCATCTTCAATTCAGAGAGAAAGTCTTTTTGTCCAAACAGATGGCATGAGAAACTGACACTGATCATTAGGCAACCTAGGAAACGGAGCGGTTATAAGGAACAGATATTCAAGGCAGGGTCTTCCTCACCTAAAGCTGTTCAGGTTATTGTGATGACCCAGGCTGGGCACGAAAGCAACACAGCCGGAGTGAAGGCTTAACTCTTTTTTTTTTTTATTGCTCCAACTTTTCCCCTCGCAAAGTTCCCACAGTTCACTGTAAGTCCAAGAGTAACGCTCCAAACACACCCATATACCTTCACTAGTTCCTGGCTGTGAGTCCAGAGGAGCAGCCAGTTCTGAGAGCAGACAGAATTCAGGAAACATGGTTCCAGAGATTCTATGTTGCATGAAAGGGTCACTGGGGCTGCAGCACAACCTGAAGCAGAGCTCTGTCGCTGAGTATTTGCCCACAATCAGGCTAGGCAAAGCAAGGCAAGTCGAACCCAGGCAAAACAAGACTAGGCAAACTGGCAAGATGTTCCCGACAAGTGCCCCTCTCCATAGCATCTCTTTAAACCTTATTCCCCACGTTAGCCTTGTGGTGAGGGGCGGGGCATCCTCCTCCTGAGTTATCATTTCACCCTACATTGATCCCTCCTGCTCTCCATTCTCCGTACTCGAGGGTTGGGTGGGGGAGACAATTGTTCTCCGGAGCTCTGTCGCTCCTTTGCTCTACTGCCTACTCTTTCCCTCCCTTCCCCCTCCCCCCATCCTGCGCCCTCTCTCCTTCGCTGGCAACCCTTCCAAGGCTCGGGACTGCCTCATCCTGTTCCTCCGGTCGTTCCTCCAGGGCTAGAGGGGCCGTGCCATCTTCCTCCGTTAACCATGGCACCATCTAGTCGTCCTCCTTGGACCCAGGCTCCAAAGGGGTCATGACAATTATCTGCTCTGGAAAGAAGAACTTCCTCAAAAGCTCAGACGAGGAAAGATCTTGTAAGTATCTACCATCTTCTCCACTTACTTTGGTCTTAGAAAAACAAAAAGAAATCACAGAACATCCTTCTTCTAGATCAGTGGTTTTCCATTGGGCTGCTCAGTCAATTCATAGATGGGCTTTCGTCATCTGCCTGTCAGGGACTGAGCACGGTGTTTCTTTAAATCTTTTGGCCACGCCTTCTCTCTTCTCAGGGACCTCAGTTATTTCACTCAGTCTTACTGTAGGGACTTGTTTTTTCACTGCTCTTGCAGTCTGTGAGGAAAACTAGTTAGTTTTAGGTTTTATTATTTTGTTTGGTTGGTTGAATTTTATTTTTTTCCTTCTGATTAGTTGGAGCCGAAGATTTGGGACAGCCTGCAGCTGCAGCTTTCTCTCGCTGCTAGTGGTGGGTGAGTGCTACTGGGGCCCCAGAACACCACCCCTGCTCTTCTAATACCTGCAGCGAAGGGAGTCTGACCCGGCTGGGCAGCTCCTCACGGCCCTGTGCCGTTGAGTTGGCTGCCGGTAAGCACGTCGGTTACCGGTACGCTGGGATAACCGCGGCCGCCATTTTGGGCTCCACTTAGCACAGGGCGGCTCTGGAGTCCCTGCTTGAATTTGAGGAAAACTCCGTGCATTTTGACTGCCCCTCTGCCGGCACTGGCTGTTATTTTCTCTTCTGAGTATTTGGAGTGGCTGAGAACGAGTGTGGACATTGGCTGGACTGTGAGGAGCCACGGAGAAGCGAGTAAAGCCGAATTCCGGTTTCGTGCCATTTTTGCGCCATTTTCAACGGCAGGTTTGAGGCTCAGAGTGGCATGAGGAGATTATCAATCTTGGCCGCTTATAATTGCAGA